AACACCACAAAGTCTTCCCCCTGCCTCTAATGTGCATTAAAAGTATTGCCGCGCCGGAGCGGTTCAGCACAGCTGCGCTGCTAAAAGCACTGCGCCTCGTCAATACTGCGTGATGGATAGCGCCTGGTCCCTACCAGCTGTCAATTACTTTCTTACATATGAATTTCCTGCCGGATTCGCCTGGGGTTGCCTTAACCCTCGGCGTGCCTCGTTCTGTAGCAATAGCCCGTGTGCTAAGCGTCGTGTCTGACCTGCAGCTCAGAGGGGAAGGGGAAAAAAAAAGACTGCAAAGCCACAGCTGCATTCGATAGGCAACTTGCATTTGGAAAGAAAAACAATAAACACAAAATAATAATAATAATTGTGACATGATAATAAAAATTGCAACATAATTACAAAATAAAAAATACATGCAACATGATAATTGTAACATAATGATAACTGTAACATAATAATCATTAAAAAAAAAGAAAAAATGGCACTGAGTGCATCTGTCTGCCATCCAAACTGTACCATGTTGCAGGAGGCTTAGCAACTAGACCAGACGTTAAATAAAACACATCGCACGGCCCCGCGGCACCTTCCGGGGAGGCGAATGTGCGCTCGTATGTGCCAAAAGCCCACGGAAAGCCGAAAGCTCTTACCTGTAGCTGTTAGCGACCAGCTCCGATCGTCGGCGTTGGATCTCATTAAAGTGTCAAGACGGGTGCCTGCACCGGACGGACGACAGTTTCCCAGGGAAAAGGAAATTGAAAAAAAAAACGAGACAGCTTACATTGAGATATCACGCTCACCAAGAAAGATGCAGACGACCCCAGACGTCTTCTTTTTTTTTTACCTCTCGCTATTTGCTTTTCGCAGCTAATTACGCCGTTCAGACGCAAGCATCCTTATTATAATTTTTTTTTTCGCTCTCTCTCCCTAGCTTGGCACACTAATGAAATAAAACTGGATTGCAGCTTGCTCCATCTAGTGGATTTAATTGAGCATTCATTACAATTGATTGCCTTGTTTATCTCCCCCTCATCCTCCAGCAGCTCGCTTCCATGTCTCTGTTTTCTGTATGGAGTGGAAGCGGTGGTCCAAGGGAGGAGGGAGGGAGGGTGGGGGGGAGTAGTTTGGATGCCCTCCCTCCGAGATCCTGCAGCCTTTCTCAGCTTCAGCAACACTGATGTGATGTCACAGAGCCTAAGCTGCGTGTGTGTGTATGTGCGCTTGTGTGTGTGTCTGGATGCCCAAGGGATTCCCTTACCCCTTGCCTTAAACTATTCAATGAGTGGCATTCCTATGTATATATATATAGAGAGAGAGAGAGCGAGATTATATATAGTCACCTGCTCGTTCTGTTTGCGCCCTGCCACTTTGACGTTGCGCAGTTCATTCTTCTACAGATCCCAACCTAGATTATCCAGG